CTTTTCATCCTACATCTTTCTTATTATTCTATATTCATGTGCCAATTTAATACGTGAGTTGCTCTATTATCCATTACTGACTTTTTTATAAGTGCTACATCTTTTATTATTTTTAACTATAACTTATCTTTTAATGGTCTTATTCTTTTTTTATTTCAGTGCTGTGCCTTGTTTACATCCTATAGACCTTTATATCTTTCATCAAAGTTTAAAAAAAATAAAAAGAGGCTTTTCATTTTTTCCTTTGGCCTCTTTTCCAGGTTGCTTTATGTTAGCTGTTTGTCTTTTAACCAGGATGTTATTTTATCAACTGAGTTCAAAACCTCTATGTGATCTTCAATGAAGACACTTAGGGCTGTTGGAAAGCCCCACATATATTTTATATTGTATTTTCTAAATGTAGCTGTTGTTGGGCCGTATTTTTGTCCTTTGTGATCTGGTAAAAAAAAGCCAGATCTGGGAAAATTGTCATATTCTTAAATTCTTCTCCTTGTGGCTCTTTTTTTCTGCTTGTTTTCAATATTATTTCTTTAGATTGAAATAACTGAAAGCAGCAAATTATGTCTCTTGCCTTGTTGTCTGGTATATTTTTTGGGTTTAAACACCCTGTGATATCTTTCCAGGTTATGGTTGAATTTTTCCAGTTCAATACCACAGGCTTTCAAAAGATTGATCACATAATCTAGAATACTCTCTTGACTGATCGATTCTGGGACATTTTTTATTCTCAGATTATTCCGTCTTGAACGATCCTCCAAATCTCCTAGTTTCGTCTCCAATTCATTGATTTTTTTTTTGTCATTTCTTTATTTTGTTCTTTCAATAGTTTTTCTTGAAATTCCGCAGATATAACTTTTTCTTCTGCCATGTTTACTTTTTCTGTCAGAAGTCTTATCTGGCCAAGGATCTCTTCCGAATTCTGATTAATGTGTTTCATTAAGGTTTTTGATTGAGATTCTAGGCATCTTTCTAAGAATTACGCTGTTATCTACGTACTGGATATACTCTCCTGACTGCTTGATGATTCTTCTATTCTTGAGGTCAATAAAGATGTATTTTCTATCTTTTTCTCTTTGGTTAATTTATTGGAAGGTGAAAAAAGTTTGTAGTTTCTCTTTCTGGTTTGGAATTTTTCTTCTCCTTTTTTTAAGTGTTTTTTTTCCTGGGATCTAGAGGCCATTTCTCTATCCGTGGAAACTTAAAATGTACTCAAATTTAATTATTCCTACCCTTTTATTGTTCTCATTAATCTATCCCCCTTCTTTATTTTATTATTTATTCTTCTTTTTCTTTTTTCTTCCTCTCTCCTCCTCTCTCTTTTGTCTATTCCTCCTCTTTTATCTTAATTATCTCCTTTAATTGTGTATTTTATGATTTATTTATAACACCAGTTTATCTGACACAGATTATAACCCAGATTTCACAGTGAAGGGAGAGGAGAGAAAACAAAGCACCAGCAGCAAACAGGCTGTTTTAACGGTTTTGGCCTGTCCCTTTAGTTGAGAGTTAGGTATTAATTAATTAAATAGCCACATTCACTTAAAAAATAAGTAAATAAATAAATACAGGAACCACCCCCAGGATTTCAACCCAGTCAAGCAACTAAAGAGCAGTATACAGAATGTATAGAGAAAGGAAAAAAAAGGGCTTTTAATTCACTTATCACCTCGGGTGGGGTCGCGTCTTCCACTGCCACTCACCTCTTCACTTCTTTAGCTTATAACCGCTGCTTATCATCTCAGAACAAACCGAGATTTCTTATTTCCGACCATGCCGCACCTCTTCTCGACCTCCACCCACCCTCCTTAACTCCGCCCTTCGGTACGTACGGCCATACCTACGTCATCTCCCCATCCCAAAAGCTTTTGAATGAGATACTTGTCTCAAAGTGATGCATGTCTCTTCAAAATTACCACTCACTTGCATGAAAACATTGAGAAGAACCCTGCGAAACCCAGGGCTTATTCTATTATTATTATTTTATTTTATTATCCTATCTCAGTAAAGTGACCACATGTCTACCATCAGATGGGCTACTGGGCTTGATGCTGGGACACTTGTGGCTGGACTTTGTCTTACCCCTTAAGGTTATAGATTGAATACTAAGCAGAGCAGGGAAAGTATCATGTTTATGTTTTTATGCTCTTATCGTGCTGTGTAGGAACCTTATTTCAGTTATCACTAAGTAAGACACACGGCTATCTTATATAGGGGGCCTATTGGGGGGTTAAATATCTTCCACTTCTTCAGTGCATTTACTCTACCAGTTGTTATACCTTACCTGCACTGTGTTTTCATCATCTTTTTCTTTTATCTTTTAATAAATTGTGCTAAGTACTATATATACCTTACCTAATGTGAAATGTTACTTTAATGCCGAATAACCTTGGTATATAGTGAAATCTTTGTTTCTTATCATGCACTTCAAAAAAAAAAGATTTATAAAAAAAACAACAACAAAAAACACAAGTGAATGATAATTTGCTAGTCCTGCAGGATGCATTCGCTCCACAAATGTATTTAAACTGGTGCTAGCTAAGTCTTCCAAATCCTGTACTTTGAATAGAATTTGGATGTGAAAGCACCAATTTTAATCCGCAACAAATATATAATAACAAATAATTTATAAAAAGACCATTTGGTACAATCCATTTTGTCTCTTAGTTTGAAAGTGCTTGTGCCACATTCCTTCCTTTCCAATTTGGTTCAATACTATCAATACCAATACAAAAAGATATTCAATATAATATAATGACAGAGTTCAAAGAGCATGGTGTCCTAATTTAAAGATTAACAATTCTAAGTTAGTTGTGATAAATGTCTACTTTTCAGGGACAAAAGCTGAACTGTTCCATTGGACCTTCCCCTTTCAGTGGTCGGATACTGCCATTAAAGGACCACTCTAGGCACCCAGACCACTTCAGCTTAATGAAGTGGTCTGGGTGCCAGGTCCAGCTAGGGTTAACCCATTCTTTAATAAACATAGCAGTTTCAGAAAAACTGCTATGTTTATGAATGGGTTAAGCCTTCCCCTATTTCCTCTAGTGGCTGTCTCATTGACAGCCACTAGAGGCGCTTGCGTGCGTCTCACTGTGATTTTCACAGTGAGAGCACGCCAGCGTCCATAGGAAAGCATTATGAATGCTTTCCTATGTGACCGGCTGAATGCGCGCGCAGCTCTTGCCGCGCGTGCGCATACAGCCGACGGGGAGGAGAAGAGGAGGATTGGAGGAGGAGAGCTCTCCGCCCAGCGCTGGAAAAAGGTAAGTTTTACCCCTTTCCCCCTTCCAGAGCCAGGCGGGAGGGGGACCCTGAGGGTGGGGGCACCCTCAGGGCACTATAGTGCCAGGAAAACGAGTATGTTTTCCTGGCACTATAGTGGTCCTTTAAGTACTTGGGGTGTCGAGATTTCGGCTAACCCTGAGGCCTGCATCACTTGGATCTCCTTCTGCACCTCCTTTACCTCTTCCAAATATTGCCCATTGCTAATGACTATTTTTAACTCCCTGCAATCATTACTGATTAACTACATCTGGAAAAAGGCAAAGACGAGACAAATATTTATCTAGTTGATTCTGCTGAAGTCCAGGGCTGTTCTGTTCTCTATCCCTTCCCTCTTAATTTCTTCTTTCTTTTTCTGTCCTTTCTACTTTTTCTCTTTTTCTACACATCCTTTGGTGATTACTTTGTGACTGGGAAATCATGTTCGTTGTCTGATGTTTGACCATGCCACTGGCAATCTACAAATAGAATTTTTATTTCTATTACTTTGCAAATTGTGAGACCTGCGAGTCTCACAGTGTTTGAACCTATGTATTACAGCTTGTCTTCTATATGCGAGTCAATATGTACTTCGTATTTTCTTTCTAATTTCTCCCAATAAACATATATTTACAAAAGAAACTTCTCTCAATAAACATAAATTTACAAAAAAAAATCAAAGCTAAGATTTGTATATTCACAGCAATGTTTAATGTTTTTCTTTTTAAATCCATAAAAGTGTTATGCCAGCCTTTCACGTAGTCATCTTACATCCCCCCCATACTGTGCCCCACATCTGCCTTGCAAAAGATAGCATCATTAGTGCTCATTCAACCAATACACTGATTTACTCTCAAATTTTTATTTGTAATTCTATAGCTAACATTTAGACATCCAATATTTAAAGTAACTTTTCTGTTTTCTGCTTTCTTACCACTGTTTATGTTTTTGTTTCAGTAAAATACAAGGGGCCAATTTTAGTTTTAAACTGTCATCTGTTCTAACAGTGGTAATATAATTATGTAATTTATGTTTTAAACATGATCTTGTAATAAAACTGACTAGCTCTTTTGCATTGCCTTTTTATACAATTAGCTTTTTTTATTACATCCAGTTAAAATTGCAAAATATAAAAAACAAAATTTTTACTCCTATTTCTCACTAGCAGACTATGTCTTTCTAAAAATATCCTCAATGTGCTCGATTTGTCCCGAATGGATTGTTACTAGTGATGTCCCGAACGGTTCGCGAACGGTTCACCACGAACAGTTCGCCGCGGACTCATCATTGAGTAAACTTTGACCCTGTACCTAAAAGTCAGCAGACACATTCCAGCCAATCAGCAGCAGACCCTCCCTCCTAGACCCTCCCAACTCCTGGACAGCTCATGAGGAATGCAGCTTCAAAATGGATGTTGTCCAGGAGGTGGGAGGTTCTGGGAGGGAGGGTCTGCTGCTGATTGCCTGGAATGTGTCTGCTGACTGTGAGGTACAGGGTCAAAGTTTACTCAATGATGAGTCCGCTGCGAATCGTTCGTGGCGAACCGTTCGGGACATCACTAGTTGTTACCCAAAAGAAATTTGTAATGCTACAATAATATTTGCATAACCCAGGTCACACCTGGCACCTTGTCGAAATGCATATTTGTAAAAATAAAATTTTCCTTTAAAACAAAACAATTGTGTGTTAAAATAAAGTGGAAACAATCTAAAATAAATTTGAACCAAAGAAAAAGTTACCTGCACTCTCTCCTAAATCCCTATGTATATTTAAACAAGTGGGGTAATTTAAATATACATAGGGATTTAGGAGAGAGCACAGGTAACTTTTTCTTGATGTGTACTGTGGTCGTTGCTGCCGTCCAGGAGTGATGGAAGTGAGCACAGGACTTATCTTTTTGTATTTGTATAAAATAAATTTGATCTGTACAGGAGGTACAGATGAGTTTTCCGGCAATTTATTTTCACCTGCCTTAACCCCTTCAGGACGGGTGACGGACGAGGTCCGTCATCCTGGGGATACTCTTAATGACAGGTGACGGACACGCGGTAAAATTAACCCCGCGATCGCCGCAGTGGGGTTAACACTGTTGCTGGGTGCCTCCAAGTCAGGGGCAGACCAGCAACAGCAAATTGCGATGTCCCAGCACATGTGATCGCTGTGACAGCCAGTCGCAGCGGTCACAATACTGCGGGGATATCTGATCCGCCTCCCTCCACCTCTTGTGGGTTTGTGAAGTGGAGAGAGACGGATCGTTGCAACATTGTGTCCCAGAAGAATAGTGAATATCTATTAAAGGTTCCTAATCCCTTTCCCCTTTATTTTTTAAAAAATTAACCCTTTCCCTGCTGCTTGATCACTGCTAGCAGTGATCAATGTACAGGTCACAATACTTTACTGTGATCTATTTTTTTTACATTTATGGGTTGAATTTAACTTTTTTTGTAACCCTAAGGGGTTCAATTTTATTATTTTATTTTATTAATTTGTGATTTAGTTAGTTGGGTGGGTGGAATTTAGTGGTAATTTGGGAATTTAGTTAGGGGTTAAAATAAAAAAGCTTCTTAGCTGTGTTAACTGTAGTAACAATGTTTCGAAAGTATAGCGCAGAGGAGGCTTATGCCCTGTTAGTAGCCGACTCAGAGGCGACCGACACTGCCTCAGAAAGTGACGCAGGGAGTGAAGCAGGGGACAGGGACTATGTGCCAGATACTGCAGGAACATCAGGGGAAATTGCTGATTCCCCTAATGTTCAACATGGTGCAGATGACTGGGTACCCCCTAATCATTTTTCGCCAGACATCCCAGAGTTCACTGCCAATCCTGGCATACAGGCTGACCTGTCTGGCTATAATGCACTGGATTGTATGGAGCTGTTTTTGGGGGATGATTTTTTTGGGGAGGTAGTTACCCAGACGAATCTGTATGTAAAGCAATATCTAACACTCAACCAAGACTCCCGAATCGCCAGGATAGAGAGATGGTACCCAACCAGTGTGCCAGAAATTAAACAATTCTGGGCACTGACAATGTTAATGGGGATAGTTAAAAAGCCCACAATTAGGATGTATTGGACTAAAAATCCTACTTTTAATACACCCATTTTTTCCCAGACAATGCATAGGGAGAGATATGAGGACATACTGCATTTTATGCACTTTAATGACAATATGAAGTGCCCCCCAAAAGGTCATCCGCAGTATGACATTCTTTATAAAATGCGCCCTCTAATTTCCCACTTTAATGAAAAATTTGCCACTATTTACACCCCCAAAAAACAAATTTCAATTGATGAGTCCCTCATGAAATATAAGGGAAGACTGGGATTTAGACAGTACATCCCATCCAAAAGATCCTGGTATGGGATCAAATTTTATTAATTATGTGAAAGTTGAAGTGGCTATGTATACACCTTCCGTGTATATGAAGGAAGGGATAGCCACCTTGATACCCCAGGTTGCCCAGATATAATAGGGACAAGTGGGAAAATTGTCTGGGACTTAATAATGCCCTTACTTAACTACGGTTATCACTTATACATCGATAACTTTTATAACAGCATCCCACTCTTACAAATGCTGTACTGTTTTGAGACCATGGCCTGTGGCACTATCAGGAAGAGTCGCACAGGTTTCCCAAAGGCTCTAGCGGAAAAAAAAATTAAAAAGGGGGAAACAGCAGCTCTCTGCCAGAATCAACTGCTGGCACTCAAGTACCGCGATAAAAAGGAGGTTTTCATCCTAATTACCATCCATGGTGAAAACACTCGCAGGGCCGCAGTTCATGGCAGAGAGAAATGTAAACGGGTGCCAGTCTGCATACAGCAATATAATCGGCATATGGGGGGAGTTGACCTGTCCGATCAACTAATGCAGCCGTATTTAATCATGTGCAAAACCAGGGCATGGTATAAAAAAGTTGGCATATATATAATGCAGACGGCAGTCCACAATGCCTTTATCATTTTTAAAAAGGCAAATGCTGAGCTGAAATGCACATTCCTTTCATTTCAATTTCAACTCATTTGTGGGTTACTTGAGTGCCACAGAGGGGGGCCATCAGTGGAGCCTAGCAGAAGAATGGAGGCAGGTCACTTCTGCTTCAAGATTCCATCAACACCCAGAAAGAAAACCCCCCAGAAAAGATGCAGGGTGTGTTACAAGAGGGGCGTAAGAGTTGAGACCAGCTATTACTGCCCTGATTGCCCCTCTCAGCCTGGCCTATGTATTGGCCACTGTTTTCCACACCCAGGCCGAATAAGCAGACCAGTTTTGGGGTGTGATTTGAGTCAACTGTCTGGTTACCAAATCTTGGCTTTGTCTCCCGTTTATCCCGTCTTCTCTGATCCTTGACCTCGGCTTGTCCTATCGTTGTTCCGTTTCTCTTTACCCCTTTGACCTCGGCTTGTACCTTGACTATTCTCTGCTTGTATAGCCCGGCCATTCTAAGGACCAGTATTACAAGTGTCTCTGTGTTTTCTCTCTTTGTAGTCTGTCTGTGTTTTGGAATCTGTGACAGCGTTGCCTGTGACGCAGATTACTGGGTACTACCCCCAGATAAGTTTAAGCCAACTATTCCTCCTTTTCACAGCAAATAGTATGCACTTGTTCATAATTTGAATTGATGAGCTGCTTATACTTAAAAATATATGTGGTCTTTGAGAGGTAATTTGCAGTCCTGAGAGGCTAAAATAACAATTGATGGCTAAGATGGCTAAGGCGACCAGAGCACCAGCAGCAGTGTCCCCATCGGGGTCTTTGCAAACTGTGAACAGTCCCCAAATGGGGAACATTATGCTTTAATGTAGATATATTACTGCACCATCTTTTGGTAAAAAAATATATTTAGTTTATATTTAGTTGCTTACCAATGCAACCTGAGATAGTTCATGGCAAATTCATTAATTGTGTACTCACCAGAACCAAATTTCCATTCTCCAATTGTTAGTGGTGAGTGGAAATTTTGAGCCCAGATACATATACAGTAAGTCGCCTACAGAACACAATACTTTTAAAACATCATGCTAAATGAGCAATACTGAAACACATTGAACAGTATTTATTTACAGTAAGTAGTATTTATATAATGTTACAATATTATTTTAACACTTATAAAACATTAAAGGGACACTCTAGGCACCCAGACCACTTCAGCTCATTGAAGTGGTCTGGGTGCAATGTCCCATGTCCCTTAAGCCTACAGTGGTAATTATTGCAGTTTCTGAGAAACTGCGATAGTTACCTCTGAGGTTTAAGTCCACCTCTAGTGGCTGTCTCTGAGACAGCCACTAGAAGGATTTCCGGAATCGAAACAGACCTTTGGTACGTTATCTAAAGCTGGACGTCTTCACGCTCTGCATGAGGACCTCCAGCATCAGATTTTTCCCCATAAGACAACATTGAATAAAGCTTTCCTATGGAGAAATCCTAATGTGAGTGCAATCATTGCTACGCATGTGCATTAGGTGTCCCCCGTTGACATCAAACCTGGACGTAAATGGCATTTGTTACAAATAGTTGCAACACTTGGGGTAACAGTAACTATCACACTGGTTTCATTCCTACTAGGATAACATACACAGTGAGATAACTTGATACATTTGTAGCTATATTTCTTTACTTTATTACAAGCGTGGGATTCATCAGCCTCGTAGGGTATTGGAGGTTTTTTCCACATCAGTTTTATCAATTGTATTTTAATGATTTTAACTTCTAAATAAAGGTTAGATTTTATTTTCATTTTTCATTGTTTTGTTCATCTAGCTATTATTGGTTTTCTTTAACCCCTTCCCAACCGGTGACAATTCAGGACCTTCATAGGAAAAATCCCCTTGAGGTCCAGTGACGGTCCTGAAACGTCATAACAGTATTATGTACTTGCCCGATCACCATCGTTCCCCCGTCGGCGATCGACATTGCTCCCGGTGTGGGGAGACTGCATGACAGCCCAGGCAGTCTCCCCACAGTGGATTAGGACCCCACGGCCACGTGAACGCTCAACAGAGCGGTCACATGGCCACAATAGCATGTCCATGTATATATATATATATGTATATGTATGATATATAGACATATTATACTTATATAATATATGTCTATATATCATACATATATAATGTTATACTAAGTGTATTTTTATATTATTATATACATATATTAATATAAAGATACACTTATATTTAAATAACACACGTATATAGATAATATATATATATATATATATATATATATATATAATAACTATATATATTAAATATATATTAAACATATATATATATATATATATATATATATATATATATATATATATATATATATTATAAAATAAGTAAATTAAAATAAATAAAAAAACATATATATATCAAAATACACTTGGAATGAAATTATATATACATCTATATATATATATTTATATATATATATATATATATATATATATATATAAATCAAAATAATACAAAATATATATATCCATATATATTATTACATAAATAATTTCATAAATATACACGTAGACTTCAAATATATAAATATGTATATATATTTAAATGCTACGTGTGTATATATTTGTAATATTTTTACATAATCAAGTAATTTTATTGGTTGCAATTTGAGGGACCTGCCTGCAAACCCAGGCCGAAAGTCCAGAGAATGTAATTTGCTAGCACTGTATTTAACCTTGTAACTTTCTATGACACCCTAAAACCTGTACATGGGGGTATTGCTTTACTCGGGAGACTTTGCTGAATACAAATATTAGTGTTTCAAAACAGTAAAACATATCACAGCGATGATATTGTCAGTGAAAGTTACTTTTTTGGGCA